CTGGGAGGAGGGAGAGAAACAAAGGGTCTGTGTCTGTCGGTATGCTGGTTTCTGCCAGGGATAGACCAGGAATGGAGTCTTAGAACTTTTAGTAAGTAATCTAGCTAGGTATGTGTTAGATTATGATTTCTTTAAATGGCTGAGAAAAGAATTGTGCTGAATAGAATAACTATTTCTGTCTGTGTATCTTTTTTGTAACTTAAGGTTTTGCCTAGAGGGGTTCTCTATGTTTTGGAATCTAATTACCCTGTAAGATATCTACCATCCTGATTTTACAGGGGGGATTTCTTTATTTCTATTTACTTCTATTTTTTTATTAAAAGTCTTCTTGTAAAAAACTGAATGCTTTTTCATTGTTCTCAGATCCAAGGGTTTGGGTCTGTGGTCACCTATGCAAATTGGTGAGGCTTTTTATCCAACATTTCCCAGGAGAGGGGGGGTGCAAGTGTTGGGAGGATTGTTCATTGTTCTTAAGATCCAAGGGTCTGGGTCTGTAGTCACCTAGGCAAATTGGTGAGGCTTTTTACCAAACCTTGTCCAGGAAGTGGGGTGCAAGGTTTTGGGAAGTATTTTGGGGGGAAAGACGCGTCCAAACAGCTCTTCCCCAGTAACCAGTATTAGTTTGGTGGTGGTAGCGGCCATTCCAAGGATAACGGGTGTAATATTTTGTACCTTGGGGAAGTTTTGACCTAAGCTGGTAAAGATAAGCTTAGGAGGTTTTTCATGCAGGTCCCCACATCTGTACCCTAGAGTTCAGAGTGGGGGAGGAACCTTGACACCATCATTGGAGTTTTTAAGAGCAGGTTAGGCAAACATCTGCCAGGGATGGTCTAGATAATACTTAGTCTTGCCTTGAGGTCTCTTCCAGTCCTATGATTCTATGTTAATTGAGTCAGTGTTCTGATGTCCTTCCCCCTACTCACTGATGTGGAGCATATATGCCCTGCTCAGGGTGATAGCTAACACCAGTAATTGTCCTGGACAATATCTGATCTCTACCTGGTAGTGCTGGAGACAAATCAACATATGCTTTGATCTCTCTGGAACACTAAGAAGGGAATTTGACATGACTGTGGCTAGTGGGTTGTGGTCTGGTTGCCCTATTACTGAATGGCCATAGGCGTTCTGATTTATTGTTTCTTCAGTCCAACTATCACAGCCAGGAGCTCTCTTTTTTCTATTTGGGTGTATCCCTGATCAGTCTCTCACAGGGGCCTAATGGCATAAGTGACTGGCTGCTCTTGCAAAAGAACATCTATTATCATTTGTTTCAGCTTGTCAGATACTTATTGGTGGTGACTTGCCCAGTCCCACTTAACATCCTGCTTTGAGTTGATCTATGGTTATGTATGATGTATGGGTTCCAATATGACAGCCAGGTGTGGACACAACTTGGACAGAAAATATATCATTCTTCTGAAGTGCTGTCTCCTTTTCACATCCACTGGAGCTAGCATGTCTCAGACTGTCTTGTTCTTATTGGGATCTGCTTTCAGTCCCTCTGCTGTGAGCAGATGTTCAATGCATGTCCTTCATGCTGTTTGAGTTGCATTTTTTTCTGGGCTGAGATTTATATCCTTGTGCCTGTATCACTGTAGAAAAGCTTAGTTTTTTTTCTGCCACTTAATATCATTCAGCTTCTCTATCATTGCTCCTTTCACCTACAAGAAGGGGATATCTACAACTATTTTCACGTTAGGCAGTGACCAAATGTTGTCAGCATGCTCGACTCTTTATCCAGGCTTATGTGCCAAAAGTGATTTCTCACATCAACAGACCATAAAGATTCTGGCTTCGGAAAGTTGTGGTCAGATGTCACCAACTGTGGGAAGCGTACAGTGGCATCTTTTCAATTCCCAGTTCAGTGGCTTTGGCTCTATGCAGATGCATAATTTTTTGGATGTCTTCTTTACCACCACCGTGCTGCTTGCTGTGCTGATCTCTATAGGTGCTATGAGAGACCCCTGCTCTGCAAACTTTCTTGCTCCTTGTATACTGGATTATATAGTTCCCCTATAATTTTCCTTTATGGTAAATATACAGGTTCTACTGTGGAATCTACTTCCACTTGTGGCTGTCCTTCAAGGCACCCCTGTGACTTGCACTTTTACTTCTTGAACTGCAGCTCTAAGGGTATGTCTACACTACGGAATAAGGTCGAATTTATAGAAGTCGTTTTTTTAGAAATCGGTTTTATATATTCGAGTGTGTGTGTCCCCACAGAAAATGCTCTAAGTGCCTTAAGTGCATTAACTCGGCGGAGCGCTTCCACAGTACCGAGACTAGAGTCGACTTCCGGAGCGTTGCACTGTGGGTAGCTATCCCACAGTTCCCGCAGTCTCCGCTGCCCATTGGAATTCTGGGTTGAGATCCCAATGCCTGATGGGGCTAAAACATTGTCGCGGGTGGTTCTGGGTACATATCGTCAGGCCCCCGTTCCCTCCCTCCCTCCGTGAAAGCAAGGGCAGACAATCATTTCGCGCCTTTTTTCCTGAGTTACCTGTGCAGACGCCATACCACGGCAAGCATGGAGCCCGCTCAGGTAACCGTCACCCTATGTCTCCTGGGTGCTGGCAGACGCGGTACGGCTTTGCTGCACAGTAGCAGCAACCCATTGCCTTCTGGCAGCAGACGGTGCAATACGACTGGTAGTCGTCCTCGTCGTGTCCGAGGTGCTCCTGGCCACGTCGGCTGGGAGCGCCTGGGCAGACATGGGCGCAGGGACTAAATTTGGAGTGACTTGACCAGGTCATTCTCTTTAGTCCTGCAGTCAGTCCTATTGAACCGTTTTATGGTGAGCGGGCAGGCGATACGGACTGCTAGCAGTCGTACTGTACCATCTTCTGCCAGGCAGGCAAGAGATGAGGATTGCTAGCAGTCGTATTGTACCATCTTCTGCCAGGCAGGCAAGAGATGAGGATGGCTAGCAGTCGTACTGTACCATCTTCTGCCAGGCAGGCAAGAGATGAAGATGGCTAGCAGTCGTACTGTACCATCTTCTGCTGAGCAGCCATGAGATGTGGATGGCATGCAGTCCTTCTGCACCGTCTGCTGCCAGCCAAAGATGTAAAAGATAGATGGAGTGGCTCAGAACAAGAAATAGACCAGATTTGTTTTGTACTCATTTGCCTCCTCCCCTGTCTAGGGGACTCATTCCTCTAGATCACACTGCAGTCACTCACAGAGAAGGTGCAGCGAGGTAAATCTAGCCATGTATCAATCAGAGGCCAGGCTAACCTCCTTGTTCCAATAAGAACGGTAACTTAGGTGCACCATTTCTTATTGGAACCCTCCGTGCAGTCCTGCCTGAAATACTCCTTGATGTACAGGCACCCCCTTAGTTGATTTTAGCTCCCTGAAGCCAACCCTGTAAGCCGTGTCGTCAGTCGCCCCTCCCTCCATCAAAGCAACGGCAGACAATCGTTCCGCGCCTTTTTTCTGTGCGGACGCCATACCAAGGCAAGCATGGAGGCCGCTCAGCTCACTTTGGCAATTAGGAGCACATTAAACACCACACGCATTATCCAGCAGTATATGCAGCACCAGAACCTGGCAAAGCGATACCGGGCGAGGAGGCGACGTCAGCGCGGTCACGTGAGTGATCAGGACATGGACACAGATTTCTCTGAAAGCATGGGCCCTGCCAATGCATGCATTATGGTGCTAATGGGGCAGGTTCATGCTGTGGAACGCCGATTCTGGGCTCGGGAAACAAGCACAGACTGGTGGGACCGCATAGTGTTGCAGGTCTGGGACGATTCCCAGTGGCTGCGAAACTTTCGCATGCGTAAGGGCACTTTCATGGAACTTTGTGACTTGCTTTCCCCTGCCCTGAGGCGCATGAATACCAAGATGAGAGCAGCCCTCACAGTTGAGAAGCGAGTGGCGATAGCCCTGTGGAAGCTTGCAATGCCAGACAGCTACCGGTCAGTTGGGAATCAATTTGGAGTGGGCAAATCTACTGTGGGGGCTGCTGTGATGCAAGTAGCCCACGCAATCAAAGATCTGCTGATATCAAGGGTAGTGACCCTGGGAAATGTGCAGGTCATAGTGGATGGCTTTGCTGCAATGGGATTCCCTAACTGTGGTGGGGCCATAGACGGAACCCATGTCCCTATCTTGGCACCGGAGCACCAAGCCGCCGAGTACATAAACCGCAAGGGGTACTTTTCGATAGTGCTGCAAGCTCTGGTGGATCACAAGGGACGTTTCACCAACATCAACGTGGGATGGCCGGGAAAGGTGCATGATGCTCGCATCTTCAGGAACTCTGGTCTGTTTCAAAAGCTGCAGGAAGGGACTTTATTCCCAGACCAGAAAATAACTGTTGGGGATGTTGAAATGCCTATATGTATCCTTGGGGACCCAGCCTACCCCTTAATGCCATGGCTCATGAAGCCGTACACAGGCAGCCTGGACAGTAGTCAGGAGCTGTTCAACTACAGGCTGAGCAAGTGCAGAATGGTGGTAGAATGTGCATTTGGACGTTTAAAGGTGCGCTGGCGCAGTTTACTGACTCGCTTAGACCTCAGCGAAACCAATATTCCCACTGTTATTACTGCTTGCTGTGTGCTCCACAATATCTGTGAGAGTAAGGGGGAGACATTTATGGTGGGGTGGGAGGTTGAGGCAAATCGCCTGGCTGCTGGTTACGCGCAGCCAGACACCAGGGTGGTTAGAAGAGCACAGGAGGGCGCGGTACGCATCAGAGAAGCTTTGAAAACCAGTTTCATGACTGGCCAGGCTACGGTGTGAAAGTTCTGTTTGTTTCTCCTTGATGAAACCCCCCGCCCCTTGGTTCACTCTACTTCCGTGTAAGCTAACCACCCGCCCCTCCTCCCTTCAATCACCGCTTGCAGAGGCAATAAAGTCATTGTTGCTTCACATTCATGCATTCTTTATTCATTCATCACACAAATAGGGGGATGACTACCAAGGTAGCCCAGGAGGGGTGGTGGAGGAGGGAAGGAAAATGCCACACAGCACTTTAAGCACAGCACTTTAAAAGTTTACAACTTTAAAATTTATTGAATGACAGCCTTCTTTTTTTTGGGCAATCCTCTGTGGTGGAGTGGCTGGTTGGCCGGAGGCCCCCCCACCGCGTTCTTGGGTGTCTGGGTGTGGAGGCTATGGAACTTGGGGAGGAGGGCGGTTGGTTACAGAGGGGCAGCAGTGGCAGTCTGTGCTCCAGCTGCCTTTGCTGCAGCTCAACCATACACTGGAGCATACTGGTTTGGTCCTCCAGCAGCCTCAGCATTGAATCCTGCCTCCTCTCATCACGCTGCCGCCACATTTGAGCTTCAGCCCTGTCTTCAGCCCACCACTTACTCTCTTCAGCCCGCCACCTCTCCTCCCGGTCATTTTGTGCTTTCCTGCACTCTGACATTATTTGCCTCCACGCATTCGTCTGTGCTCTGTCAGTGTGGGAGGACAGCATGAGCTCGGAGAACATTTCATCGCGAGTGCGTTTTTTTTTTCTTTCTAAGCTTCACTAGCCTCTGGGAAGGAGAAGATCCTGTGATCATTGAAACACATGCAGCTGGTGGAGAAAAAAAAAGGGACAGCGGTATTTAAAAAGACACATTTTATAAAACAGTGGCTACACTCTTTCAGGGTAAACCTTGCTGTTAACATTACATACATAGCACATGTGCTTTCGTTACAAGGTCGCATTTTGCCTCCTCCCACCGCGTGACTACCCCCTCAACCTTCCCCCCTCCCTGTGGCTAACAGCGGGGTACATTTCTGTTTAGCCACAGGCAAACAGCCCAGCAGGAATGGGCTCCTCTGAGTGTCCCCTGAAGAAAAGCACTCTATTTCAACCAGATGACCATGAATTATATCTCACTCTACTGAGGATAACACAGAGAGATAAAGAACGGATGTTGTTTGAATGCCAGCAAACATACACTGCAATGCTGTGTTCTACAATGTTTCCCGAGTACGTGTTACTGGCCTGGAGTGGTAAAGTGTCCTACCATGAAGGACGCAATAAGGCTGCCCTCCCCAGAAACCTTTTGCAAAGGCTTTAGGACTACATCTAGGAGAACCGCAAATGCCAGGGCAAAGTAATCCTTTCACATGCTTGCTTTTAAACCATGTATAGTATTTTAAAAGGTACACTCACCAGAGGTCCCTTCTCCGCCTGCTGGGTCCAGGAGGCAGCCTTGGGTGGGTTCGGGGGGTACTGGCTCCAGGTCTAGGGTGAGAAACAGTTCCTGGCTGTCAGGAAAACCGGTTTCTCCGCTTGCTTGCTGTGAGCTATCTACAACCTCCTCCTCCTCATCATCTTCTTCGTCCCCAAAACCTGCTTCCGTATTGCCTCCATCTCCATTGAAGGAGTCAAACAACACGGCTGGGGTAGTGGTGGCTGAACCCCCTAAAATGGCATGCAGCTCATCATAGAAGCGGCATGTTTGGGGCTCTGACCCAGAGCGGCTGTTCGCCTCTCTGGTTTTCTGGTAGGCTTGCCTCAGCTCCTTCAGTTTCACGCGGCACTGCTTCGGGTCCCTGTTATGGCCTCTGTCCTTCATGCCCTGGGAGATTTTCAGAAAGGTTTTGGCATTTCGAAAACTGGAACGGAGTTCTGATAGCACGGATTCCTCTCCCCAAACAGCGATCAGATCCCGTACCTCCCGTTCGGTCCATGCTGGAGCTCTTTTGCGATTTTGGGGCTCTGCATGGTCACCTGCAGCTTGCCACGCTGGCCAAACAGGAAATGAGATTCAAAAGTTTGCGGTTCTTTTCCTGTCTACCTGGCCAGTGCATCTGAGTTGAGAGTGCTGTCCAGAGCGGTCATAATGGAGCACTCTGGGATAGCTCCCGGAGGCCAATACCATCGAATTGTGTCCACAGTACCCCAAATTCGAGCCGGCAACGTCGATTTAAGCGCTAATCCACTTGTCAGGGGTGGAGTAAGGAAATCGATTTTAAGAGCCCTTTAAGTCGAAATAAAGGGCTTCATTGTGTGGACGGGTGCAGGTTTACATCGATTTAACGCTGCTAAATTCGACCTAAAGTCCTAGTGTAGACCAGGGCTAAAATTCTGATGCTACACCCATATCAGATCCAGGGTTTTTATGACTGTATTCCCGAATGTCTCTGATGCTTACCACAAACTTTAGTTGGTACCATCAGTAACAAATCCAAAAAGTAACAATGAGGTCACATTTTCCTACAAGGTTGTGTTATGCTCTCATTGTACATTATTAGACTGTACCTAATAACGGGTGTGTCTGAGTCCAATTCACCTTGAGGAATAGCATTGCAGGAGACCTGCTATCCAGCTGAAATCATACAGGGCATTTTCCTGTTAACATTTTTGCATGCACATATTGTCCTTTGTTGCTTTCCAGTCCTAACAGCCTGAATCTGATATGCTCTCGGATTCAAGGAGAAAGTCATGATGTCATCACCACTCTTGTACAAGTCTGACTAATTCTTTTGATTCTTGCACACACTGATAAAGTGGTTCATCTTGCCATATTCCTTGCAATGTCATCTTAATGCCAAGCACTTCTCTTTTTACTCACTCATGCTATTTCCTAAAGTAAATGCATTCTCTGAACATTTGATACCCTGGCCACCTACTCTCCTTTGCTGTTGTCTCATACATGTCCTTATAGGGAAGTTGTGCCTCTGAGGGCTTGTATCCTTTCTCTTTAGGCTTCAGCTGTGTGCCTCATGTTTAAGCATTTGTTTAATGTGGGATCACCCTTCCTAGATTACCCACTCCTACTGGTGGTGATCCTAAGTGCCACAGATTATCCTGTCCTGAATTAGAGGTCTGTCAAGTCCCAGAAATTGCATGTAGCAGGCACAGAAAGGGTGTGTAATGGAGTAACATTAGGGTGTATCTCCTCTTCGGACTGGTCTCTAGTGAAAAACCTGTGTTGTTGCCAGGACTGGCACACAATATTTTGGCACCTGAGGCGGGGAGCTAAAATGATACCCCTATGCCCCCTTGCTTGGGCCAAAACTTTGAAACTCTGGGTCCTAGTGGTAACTCTCAGTTCAGATGCTGCTACCATGTTTCATTAGCAAAGTGTGAAGCTGAATGCAGCTTTGGTAGAACTGTATTAAATCCTGTTTACTGCTGTCCATGTGGGTGTGTGGCTTCCAGCCTAATGCCCCATGTTACCTGTTTTCCTGTTGTCTCTTAAATAACTGTCCCTCCCGAGAACATAGATCATCTGACTCCAGTTCCACTTATCATGATACAAAAGGCAGATATGTGGACTGAGGCAAAAATATGGAAGGACTTAAAGAGATAAGTCTCAGAACAGATGCTGTGGAAAAGGGGGAGCCAATGGAGGGAACCAAAGGCAAGGGTCAAATTGATCAGCAAGAAAGACAGTATGTTTTGTGGACCAGAAGAGGCTAAATGTGGGTATTTAAGAGAAAGAGATGTTAAGGGCCAGGAAAATAATTTTATTTGTCTAGAAAGAAAGAAAAAAAGTCAGATCTTAGAGAGGATGATGAAGAAATGCTAGGATTTGGAAACAGCTGGAAGAATGGACTAAGGGATAGGGGAGACTCAAAAATATCCTCCACCTAACAGTCTTGAGTGACAAAAGGAAAGGCTTGTTGTTCAGTAGGGACAGGCTATGGGGAGTCTTTCAAAGAAGAGATCAGGGGTAGAGTTGGGAAATGTTTTAACTAAATTGTTTATTCACTGAAAAATGCAGCTTCGACTGGTTTGAAGCTATTCACAAATTTGACAGAATTCACAGAATACTTTTGACCACAGCGGTTTCAGCCAAAGTTTTCAAACCGCTCTGTGCCTCTATTTCCTCATGTAAAATGTGGATGATAATACATCCCTATGGAAGAGCAGTATTATGAAGACAAAATCACTAATGTTTGAAAAGTACTTTGAGATGCTCAGATGGAAAGTGCTGTATTAAATGCAAAGACTTTTAAAAAAATCTGAAACTATGAAAGCAGAGGTGGAGAAGAAAGAAAAAAATTAGAGCTTCTATTGCATGATCCCCACAGGGAACATTCAAATGCATGAAGGAACATAATGAGAGGATCTCTGATACTTCAAGAAGTCACTGAAGCACACATGGTAAGTAAAAGTGACCTGTAAAGTGGGTGCATGTCTTGCAGTTACACAGACTTTCTTCCCTCCTTCTCTGACAGGCCTAGAGGGAACATAAAAGTTTCTTTGTGAGTTAACAATTTATATCTATTTTAAATATAAAAACTAGAGAGAAGATTAGAGAGAGAACAGAGTCTTCTTCTATCCTGCTTTCATCGTTGCAGGTAGGATACTTGGCCTTTAAAAAAGATCAACTGAATAAAATTAAAAAATACCATTGTATAGTAATTATTATGAGGGTCAGTTTGGTACCTGAGATGGAGAGCACAGATGCCTTGCACAGATCTATGCTTCTATTAGTACTGTATTCAGCCGTCTGTTTGGGGTGTATGTGTGTGGGGGAAAATCTTTGCAATGTTTTTATTTTATTTTATTCTCCCCAATAAAAGCAATGCTAAATAATAAAACTAACATTTCTAGAGCACCACCTTTCATCCCAAGGATTCAAGGAGTGCTTAACAAACTTCAGTTTATATACAATCTACATGCAGCAATTGCTTCAATCAGCTTATCATTGTACAACCACAGTGCACATTAGTTCAGGATAGGAAGGGAAGAAGAATAACTGTAATGTCAGCAAAGGGAATTTAAGTAGGCACAGCACAATTAACAATGTTGGGACTTGGCCACTAAACTGGGACTAATGCCCTACTTTTGCAAAATTGCCATGGGATATTTGATGACCATTGGCTTGTGCAAGAAGTAATATTTTAAATGACAAAAGTGTAAAATGTTTAAGAAGTTTTCATTATTTGTAAATTAATTTCTCTGTTAGAGATGCCAAAAAGAAAAACACATAGTAGTGAAGACTATGTTTTGTCAACGTCAGGATATACTTCAAAAATGAAAGAAAACTATAGAATCAGGTCATATATCTCCTCCTCCTGACGTTCTCTACCAAAATATCCCTTTGGCCTAGGAAGAATGTGTGTACCTTCATTTTCCAGATGGGGTACGTAGCCACATTGTGCTAAAGTCACTTGCCAAAAGTTAGAGTAAGTTTGTGACAAACTCTTTTTAAAAATTACTTCAAATTTACATATTTATAAGAGCTGGTTAGAAAATTGAAAATATAATCTTATCAAATATAGGAATATATTTTGTTTTATCTTTAAAATCCTTCTTTCACTGGACATTTTCCAATTATTTCTAATACTTAGGCCAACTTTAAAATAGGCCCCATGCATCTTTATTAAGTATTTTAATCTTGATGGTGCTCAACAACTGACTGGATTGGTTCCAAAGAGTTCCTGCCCTCAAACATATACATGCTAGAAAGAGGAAAAAAAGACAAGACGAGACAAGATGCCCCAGGAGATGAAAAGTTAAATTAGAATATTTTTCTTTTATATTTTGGGACTACCAGATTTCCATTAGAGGCTTGTACAATGCCCAAAACAAAAGGACCTCAATACCAGATTGGATTCCCGAAGGCATTACCGCAATACAATAAATAAACAACAACAACAGTGTTCCTTTTGAACAGGGAAATGTGATTCATTTGAAATAGTCTCATTCCATTTCAAATCGATTGCCACTAGCTTTACCTCAACATTTATGGTGATGTGCCTAATTCATTACATATTTCCACATACTGTGGACATCAGAGAGCTTGAGCTATTAGGGTTTTTCTTCCCCCCCTTCAATGAGCCAAACATGCTAATTTAAATTTTCCAGCTCAGGTGACAAAGAAAAAATATAAACCACCCTGTTCATTTTAGTTGAATAGCATTATAGCAGAACAAAATCCATTTCTAAACCATGCATCCTGAGCCTTTTGTGCGGGGGGGGCTGGGAAATGCATGGCTAACAAAATCACATTCCTCTTCTACCCCTTGGCATTTCTGAATTAAAAGATAGCTCAAATGATATCTCACTAGGAAAAAAATTACAATGACAAACAGTAAAAAGACACTTTAGCTTAAATCTTTGGGAAATCAGAAATAAGGCTTTACACTCCAAAAGGTGGATCTTGCCTGGGGGAAAGTCATTGCAGCAATTTCTAGATAAAAATCAATGTTGGAAGAAAAAAAACTGGGCAATAGTCAGGGACTATGATAATGAACTTTGGCACGCAATTAAATAGGGAATATCTAAGCACTTCAAAGCTTCAGTTATGTATAGACCACATCAAAGCTGTCTGTCAACTGTCTTTGAAGAAAAAACATTTTCAATGCTATTTTCCTTTCTGTTCTGCAGTCTGTTTTTTTCTTCCTTCTTCTTTGAGAGTTCTGACAACTACTGATGACAACCTTTCAATCAGCAAATCAATGGGTGGACTCTACAGTGTAATGGCTGGGGGAAACACTTAACTTTTTATATGGAAGTTCAACTTTCATGTTCGTGAGGTGTTTACTGATATCTGATTATTTAGAACACCAGTTATTCTTGGTCTCAGTTTGGGATGGAATCTTGCTAATATATTGCGTGTGAATCACAAAATATTTTTCCATCTAAAGATACAAAGTTGATACATATTTTCTGACTTTTTATTTTTTTTTTCCTGATAGACAAACTACATAGAGGAACATTTGGGATGTATAGCTGCTGTGCTCATTGTAAT